AATAAATATAAAAATAAGCATAAAAAGAAATATAAAAATAAATGCAAAAATAAAGCAGTGAAACGGATTTGAAAAAAAAAAAACAACCTAGTGACCACTGCTAAAAAAGAAAATCCCTGACTTCTGCCAAGTGAATAAACTGCAGGAATTCCATTTTTCCAGTGGTTTGGAAGGAATAATTTCTAATAGAAATGATGTTTTTATTGGCCAGGGTTCCTCTTTCTTTTCTTAACCAACGTCGTGGGTGAATTTATTGTGCCTGGAAGCCACGAGCTGCTGGTGCTGGCTGGATCCCAGGGAAGAGCCCAGGAATCCCAGGGATAAATCTCCGGGCAGCTTCTCCCCATTTCCCTGCATTTCCCACCAGGTTCATCTCTTCGGATCGAGCCGTAAATTTTATCTGGTGGAAAATCCCATTCCCAAATCCCGGAGCTGGGAATGGCGTGGATGATGCTGGGATGGGAATTCCAAGGAGATGCTTTGGCTGAGCTGTGCCATCATGGGTGAAAAATGTAACCACAAAAATCCACCAAAATTCAGGGATTTTCCCATCCCCGCTCCACAGATTCTGGAATATTTCGGTCTGAAACAGCAAAATTCCCGATGTTCCGAGTGGGTGGGGTTGGACAAGTGGAGGGTGGATGATCAACCCTCCAGGAATGGGGATATTTCTGGGAATAATTTCTAGGAATCCTAATCCTGGTGCTCCGATCCCCTTTGGTGGTGTCAGCCCAGCCCAGCTGCTCCACGGGCACCTCCACTCCAAACACGGATTGAACCCGCTGGATTTCATCCCACAGAATGTCAATAAAAAATGGGATATTTCCCATCACCTGCCTGTTGGAAAAGATGAGAATCCCTTGGGAAGTGCAGTGCAAACAGCCTGGAAGGCTCGTTTGGTGCCAGAGCTAAGGGGGACAAACACAGGTTGGGCTCAGAGCAAAATTCCACCTCAAGCTGGAGTTGTTTGGATCCCTGGAGCTCGGAGCAAATCCTTCAATTCCCCCGGCTGCTGCCCTCAGCCCAGCTGGAACCCAGCTCGACATTCCCACTGTTCCATGGGAATGGTGAAGGGTTTTGTGGATTTAAGGAGTTCAGAGGGAGCCTGATCCTTGTCTCAGCCTATGGTCCCTTCATGCCAAGAACCCCAAATCCCAGAGGGAAACGTCTCTGGAACCCCAAATCCCAGAGGGAAACTTCTCTGGAATCCGAAATCCCAGTAAGAAACTTCTCTGGAATTCCAAATCCCAGAAGAAACTTCTCTGGAACTCCAAAACCCAGAGGGAAACTTCTCAGGAACTCCAAATCCCAGAAAGAAACTTCTCTGGAACTCCAAATCCCAGAGGGAAGCTTCTCTGGAACTCCAAATCCCAGAAGAAATTTCTCTGGAGCTCCAAATCCCAGAAGAAACTTCTCTGGAACCCAAAATCCCAGAAAGAAACTTCTCTGGAACCCAAAATCCCAGAGGGAAACTTTTCTGGAACTCCAAATTCCAGAAGAAAATTCCCTGGAACCCCAAATCCCAGAGGGAGATGTGGTGTTGTGCTTTCCAAAGCCCTGGCAACAAAACCTCGTTAGGAAAACAAAGCTCCAAAGGGTTGGAGCCTTTTCGCCTTTCCTTTTTGCAGCCCTGTTTTTAACTAAGGACCTCTCTGTGCAATTCACTGCTTTTATTCTTTGTTCTCCAGAAAAAAAAACAACCTTGTGGAATTGGGAGCTCTGAGAGAAATTTCCGAGGATCCTGGGTGTAGAGATCCATCTGTTCCCGCACATTTTCCTCGGAATCAAACCCCTTTTGAGGGAGGTTGTTTGGCTGTCCCCGGATGTGCTGAATCCAGGCAGGATTTGGGGCTGGCTCACTCCAACAGAACAGGAAATATCCTTTTTTTAAATTTTTTTTTCCTGCCAGGATCCCTGTGATTTCCATACGATGCTGCTGCGTTTTGATTGAGGAGGATTTGGGCTGGAAAAGGATGGAATTGCAATGAGCACCTTGCAAAGGCCGGCTCAGCAGCTGGCCGATTCCAGCAGGGAATTATTCCAACGTGGTGGCTCGGATTTAAAATTGGATTTAGAAGCCAAGCAGCTGAAACCACTTGAAAATGGATTTAGGAGCCACTTGAACTTCCTATCAAGGATGATCCCAATTTTGTTTCACATGGAGCAAACCCTCCCTGGGGTTTTAGCAGCAAGGGAAGCTCCAGAGCTGCTAATCCTGAACATAAAGTCCTGGAAAGATCTTAAATCACTGAGGAGGGAAAATGAACCCAGCAGGGCAAGAAGAACCCTCTTGGAAGTGACCTTTTCCCTTCCTTTGGAGGAACATTGTTTACTTTACATGACCAGAGAGTTGTTTTCCCTAGAAAAGTCACAAAAACCTCGGAAAACAGCTCCGAGGGTCAATGCCCTTCTCCCTAACCCTTTCCTGACACCAATTATGATAATGACCATCTCTAACTCGCCATTAAAAATTAAATTAATTGATTTCCTCTCATCAGCTACACAGAGCAGACAGCCAGGTGTGTGTGGGGGGTTATTCCCAGAGTTTTCCAGTTTTTCCAGACTGAGCTCAGAAATCCAGGTGTGTGTGGGGGGGTGTTATGCCCAAAGTTTTCTAGTTTTCCAGACTGAGCTCAATAATAGAGATGGGGTGGGTTTATTCCCAAAGTTTTCCAGTTTTTCCAGACTGAGCTCAGAAATTGAGATGGGGTGGGGTTATTCCCAAAGTTTTCCAGTTTTCCCACACCGAGTGCAGAAATTGAGGTGGGGGGAGTTTATTCCCAAAGTTTTCCAGTTTTCCCAGACTGAGCTCAGAATTTGAGATGGGGTGGGGTTATTCCCATGGTTTTCCAGTTTTCCCAGGCTGAGCTCAGAAATCCAGGTGTGTTTTGGGGGGATTATTCCCATGGTTTCCCATTCCCCAGAGCACGCCCGGGGTGATGTCACTTACTTGGGACCCTGTTGATGGCGCGCAGCGGGCGCAGGACGCGCACGGTGCGGATGGCGGAGAGGCTGACGTTGTGTCCATCCAGGGAATATTCCATCATCCTGCAGGGAAAAGCAGCAAAGCAGTCAGGATGGGCAGGCTGAGGCTCGGGGAAAGGGAAAACGGAAAACTTCACTGCCTGCAAGCCCAGGGGTGCTTGGTTGTGTGGG